CTCTCTCTCTCTCTCTCTCTCTCTCTCTCTCTCTCTCTCTCTCTCTCTCTCTCTCTCTCTCTCTCTCTCTCTCTCTCGTGCGCGCGCGCACGCGCTCTGTTGTTGGTGCCGCAGGGTCACATGCCAATGCCCCGCCTGTCGATGCATCGCCGAGGCGCGCCAAGGACTTGTTGTGATAAAATTTGAAAGACTGATTTATAACAACAGGCAATGGAAGCAACTGCCCGTGGTGACATGTCGATTGTAATGGGATAGCAAAGTACAGAAACAATGATGAAAATGAAATAGACAACCAGCAGAAATTATGCAATGAGACACCTGGGGGGGGTGGTTCTCATTTTTACAGAAAGCATGAGGGCTTTCATGACCAATTGTGAGTAGGGTTTAAAACTATCACTCCATTTCGTTAAAGTTGGTGGTGGAGGATGGGGTCCATGAGTGTTGAGACAGACCCATTATTGTTGTGGTGGGGGACTACGTGCAAGAAGCAAAGGTTGAGACTGACTAGTTGGCTTGTGTCTGGTCCTTGATATGCCACCTGGCAATTCGGGAGATAGAAAAATACACTATCGAAAAATATTTTGTAGCAAAGGTGCTTGGGATACAGAGGAAGGGCATAGGACAACGGCCTATGAGAGCGAGTCGGAGCAGGTAATGAATGAGAGCAGAGAATATTTTTTAAACACAAGGAGTGATATGAGAGAGAGAGGAGAGCTCAAGCGGACATCATCATGGTGATATATAACACACTTGGGAAGTAAAGGTGTCCTCATTCTCATAGGCTTCAAGGTATTGTTCTCTTGTAATGCCAGCGTTCGGGATGGGCTGAACGTCGGAACTGGAACACCCGAACGTTAGGGGGTCAGCTTAGGGGCTGAACGCCGGAACTGGAACACCGGAACGCCGGAACCGGAACCGGGGGTCAGCTTAGGGGCCTCCATATGCTCGGCCTGACAACCCCGCACATTAACTAGTTGTAAAAATCAGTCGGAATTTCATCAAATAGAAAACGAATTCACCCAGCGATATCAAGTAAGTTGCGAGTAATTACACCGGTCCTCCTAACGCCAAAAAACCTCAGGGGTACTGGTAGCGCCGTTTCACGACGGATACCGGTAGTACAGTGTGGAAAACTGGGCGGGCCTAAAAATGAAAGTTTGAATTTTGCTGCGTACATTTTGGCTCCCCTGACAGACTGTCCGAGCCTGAATGGCTAAAAAAAAAAATAAAAAAAAATGGAGTTGTCCGGGCCCGGAATTCTGGGATCTCCCCGAATGTCCGCCCAGGACGTCCTGGTAACAAAGTTTTTTTTTTTTTTTTTTTTTTTTTGATATTTTTCCCTGAAAGATCATGACCTAATCTATGGACCCTCAAATTTTCATACATTTTGGTGTGTTGTTCTGAGCACAAAAAATTGGGAAAGTTGCCGTTTGCAAAATGGTGGGATGTGACGCGTCAGCCCCTCCTCCGTACAACCCAGCGCCTCTGTACGGTCGCCGCCCCTCTGTACAACCCGGCCCTAACTCACAGGGATTAGGGGTTTTCGGCGGTGGGGAGACTG